CTTTAACAGGTACCATATTCTTCATCTCATCATGTGGGAAACACTTATCTTTATTTCAAAAGCCCCAACCTACAGTGTCTTCCTATGCTCACCTTTCCACTTCTCTATCACATTTACGTGTGCAAATTGAGACATCCAGGAAAAGGCTAGCAGTTACTGTCTTTGAAAAAGAGATAAAAATTACTTGCTTTTTGCAATGTTTTTTAAGAGAGACAAAAACAAATCTTTCACAGATCATAAAGGGAGTCCACAGCCTGATATACGATGCTATTTCCACCCAAGGGGCATTCATTACCAGAAAAAAAGAAGCTGTACTGACATCAAGAGAGAAATATATAATTACAGCTCATTTTCAACAGAACAAGGGAACCTACCAAGTCAGAGCTAAATGGCACATCACAGGTTAAGAATCTGAGATTCCATGGTAACTAGAGGGGAGGGAGGACTCACTCACAACAGTTACAGAACTTAATTTTTCAGTGACAAGGTAGTAAGCATGGTGTAGACCCAGAAATAATGACCTACCGGTCTTCTGAAGACGAGTGTTAGACGCGTGGAGGTTCCTTGCAGCAATGAAGGATGATCCCAAAGCATTTTTGGAGACCTAGTGCAAGAATATTTTTTAAAACTTGATTTTTTAAAAAGCCTTTATAAATCTAGCAAGCTTAAACAAATGCAGGCTTGGTTTCAGTTATCAATGTAAATATTATACTCAAAATAGTCCCCTTAAAACTGAAAGAGTTAATCACATAGGAAATACTCTCCTTATATGTTAAAATCTGTTATCTGATGCTGTTCCTGGTACACTGTGAGTATGTTATAAAAAGCATATTTTAAGAAGCAACAAAGTATCTTTCTTTTCAAAGGCATAAGATAATATTATTTTGATTTTAGATACATTTCAATTGAGTTGTAGAAATTCTCAATTCAATAAACTGCTTCCTAGAAAGGGCAAATCTCAACAGATTTCCTATTTTAACAACAAAAAAAACTGCAAATGTTACTACAGTTTGGCTAGGAACTAAGAGATATGGCATATGCACTTTTTTGTTGTTGTTTACTGCCTTCAACAAAGCATGCAGCAACCTGGACCCTGACTTCTCCTTCAAGCTATAATGCTGTGGTTGGTCAATGTCAATTCCTTCCTTATAAAGGAGTTGGATGAAATCGTTAAAAATGCTGTTTTGCTAACAGAAATCCAAGATGCTACCAGTGATAGTGTTAGGGCAGTAAAATGGCCAATGTTTATTTCACCTTCCAAATTGATACTACTCTTAAGATGAAAAAACAAGTAAATGTGAAGTGTCTACACAGGACCTAAGGGTTATGATAGTCTTAACTTCAAGGGATGTTAAGTAATGAAGGGCATTGACCTTCAAGGGTATTTTTCAACCTATGCTCTATTTTATTTTACTTCAGTTCACAATCACTAACGACTCCTCAAGGACGAAGTCTTAAAACATGTCAAAGCTCCACAAAGCAAAGTCTTTCTGCCAGACTGAGACAACTTAGAACCTAGCTCTTCAGCTGTCAAGGTATTGGCCACATGAAATACATACTTGCACCTGTACGGTGTTTTCATGATCGTCTCAGTATTCAGCACTGAAAGACCACCTACTGGAAAACCACCTTCATTTATTTATCATTTATCATTCAGAAATCCCCTTTATTTATTGCCGCCTTCTGAACCGACCTCGGGGCAGAGGTGAAATACCGGGGCCCGCTGACCTTCATACAATGTCAGGTTCCCCTAGCTCGCTTCGACCAGGGCTGACAGCAGGGCTTTGACCTTCAGCGAGTAAGTCCCGGGGAATTAGCGGGGCCGAGCCTCGCCCTCCCCGTGCAGGCCTCGGAGAGCTAGCGCCCCAGTCCTGACCTTCATCCCAGGCCCTTCCCGGGCCGCTCTCGGATGAAGACGGGAGACTTCCTGAGGCGCCATCTCTGGGCAGCATGGCGGTCACTGTCTCCTCTGTACCACTCTGCACCCTCTCGCAACGGAGCAAGCAAAACGGGCCTGCCGCCCCCTACCCAGGCCAGCCCAAGCGCCCAGCAAGGCAAGATGGCGCTTCCCGCCTCAGCCCCTCACCCCCCGCGCATAAAGAGCGCTCGAGGCCGCTCACCATCGCCCGCAGCGTCCGCCGGTCCCCTCCCTCCCTTCAGCCCCTGGTGCTC